TTGTCAATGCATATAAAAATTTAATTGAACCTACCAATGGTGAGAAGTATTGGCCTAGGAAAGAGAAACCAAAGGTCTTGACTCCTAATATTATCAAACTCGTCCGGAAGGAAAAAAAAAAAAAAGAAGAAAATTTTAGAATCATGAGAATCATTAATGGAATGAAAATATCCAATAGAGGAAGAAAGATGACTTGTAAAATCTATTTCAAAAAAAGATACAATAGATTGATATGTCCTCATCCTCTTAACAATAAAAAAGTAAATATTTTATAATTTTGTCTATCTATTGTGTTTTTAAGTTTTGTCCATCATATAATGCTTTGGAGTTGATTTAATCTTGTTCACATGATATTGATAATGCTTTTAGTATTAGATATGTACCTCATAGACTAGTTGATGTTGTGGTTAAACATAGCCCTATTGAAGCAGACTTCAAACTTTAGTTTTGTTGTAGTTGAACTAGTTTTAGCTTGTCATGTAAAAATTCTTCTTTATAGTTTAAATTTTTTGGTTTATTTTTATGTTAGTGTTTATATATAGTCTTTTATGGAATCATTTATGTATTCAATGGAAGGCTAAACAAAAAGTTGGAGTTGCATCTTCTTGTAAGAGAAAAAGAAATGATGTTACTAGTCCAAGTCTAAAGAGTAATAAAGGCAAAAAGAAGGTTGTTGTTGCTACAAGAAAGAAACATGATACTCGTTACTATGAAAATTAGCTAGCAAATGGGTGATGGTGGTCCAACTTTGAGAAGTAATAAAGGCAAGAAAAAGGCTAATCCGATTGCAAAAAGAAAAATGATATGGTTGTTGAGATGAACTAAGAAAATGGTGATAATGGTGGTCCAAGTCCGAGGAGTAATAAGGATAAAGAGAAGGTTGATGTTGCTACAACAAAGCATATTGATGCTACAACAAAGAAACAAGAGAAAAAATCTTTAACTACAGTTGGATGTTTTGTTACCGACTTTGGTTTTTTTAGACATGACATTAATATCTCAAAGGCAATTATAAGTGTTCTAAAAAGAAGAAACCAAACTCAAATGCATTCAAATTCAAGAGGCTTACAAGATCATGGATTAGAAAACAAAGTGGTAGTGCTCGCTTGTTCTTAAAAAAAAGAAGATATTTTGTTATAAATTTTGATTCATATAATAAAGATTGTAGATGTTGTTATAGGAAGATATAACTTAGGATTTTGAATACTAAGTTTGTTGTGGATATGAAATTTAAAATCTTGCACTTGTTATAATTTTGTCTTATTGGTATTATTTAACATCATGATTCATACGGTTCTAGTATTTAAGTATTGACTTACTATAATGATAGTTAAATTTGAAGCTTGTTAATAATGATAATCAAATAGAGATTCTGTCTTCTCTAGGCAATGGTTTCATGGACAATATGGAACGTACGATCAACAAATATAAGTTATGTGATATGCTCGTGAATTTTTTAGGTGTTTGTCATTAGGTAAAATGATATGTGATATGTTGTGAATTTTTTAGATCGAACTCTTTATCTAGTAATGCTTGGCACTCGCCCCTTCTACATCCGAACCTACATCTACTAACCTATACCCTTCATTCTATGTTTGTGCCAAAATTTGTTACTATTGTATAGCTATGTTAGATCAAGTTGGTTTTTAAGTATAGACAATTTGAGGCATCCAAGATTCATTGAATAAACTTTGTGCAAAACTAACATTGCACAAAATGTTCAATTGCAAAATGGATTCTTAGACACAATGTTATCCGTAGAAAAATGTTTTCCAAATAGGAACATATTTATAGAATGATGTATTTTCAAAAATATTTTCCAATCCATTTCAAAACCATATCATTACAACCACAATGACAAACATCGTACAAAGAAATTAAAAAAAAAACATATATTCTACTCCTAAACAAAACTAAATCAACACCAATCAACTTCAAACCTTCAATCTAGTAATAGCTCTTTTTTCTCTAGTTTTTGCTGATGGTAAGCATTGTTCTCAACTCTTACAAGTCTCTAGTTCAATCAATAATTCTTGATTCTCATTTTTCATGTTAGAATTCTCACTTTTTAACATAGAAATCACCTAATTCAATCTCAAATTCTTGGACACCAACTAGCGAGTTCATTGCATGTATTTCTTTTTATCAATTTTGCAAGCCCAAAATAATCTCTTTTACTTTGTCATCTAAATCATCCTCAAACCACATTTTAAAGTTACAACCAATATCCCTTTTTTTTTTTTTTTTTGGGCATTGAATCAAAGTGGATAAATATTAAATCTAACACCTGGATGTTCATCACTCCAAATCAATACCTTAATTGTTTTCATCCCACAAAAACACATAATTAATGATTCTTTATACTTCTGTCGTACTTCTTGATCACTAAGTGCATATATCGATAGTTTTGATACATCCGGATATTTGGACAAGGAAGAGGATGTAGACAAAGTAGTCATGTCTTCTTGAATTGCAATAAGAAAATGAAAAATACGAACAAGGTTGAAATTAGAGATTTTGCATTTTGGGATAATTGGATTTTAGGATTTAGATTTGAATACAATAGAGATAATGGGTTCAAAGTAAGCATGATTTGTTATTGGCTTAATGAGATTTAAGTGGTTTAGTAATTTTGAGATTTTGGGATTTAAGGGTTTTGAGAATGAGAGAATGAGTTTAACGGAATGGGAGAATGAGTTTGACACACAAATTAAGGCTTAATAATGTTAAAAAAAAAATTGATGAGGAAGATATAATTAGGGTAGGGGTAGTTTTGTCTTTTGATTTTTATTTTTTATATACTAAATATTAATATAAATCTTTTTACTTTTACTTTTTTTTTAACGCATACTAAAACAATTAGGGTTTACAATGCCACGTGTCCAAGCCTCGATTGGTTATCATTAGTTTGAACATACTAAGTAAGATGCACGCTTAAGGTCTAAATCAACAAATTTATAAGAATATAATGTTTCTATCAAATTGAAAAACTATAGAGGGTCTCAATAAAAAAAAAAAATCAAACTGTAAATAAATCAAATGTGGGATAAACCTAAACGAAAAAAAAAAAAAAAAGAATATGGTCCTTTCTATATCTCTTAATGACAATAATAATAATAATAATTGATATTATATTTTTCCTTCATTTAGAAACAAGTCAAGAAAAAAAAAACCAGTCTTCATCTATTTTCTACTATTAGTATTTGAAAGAATCGAGGTATGTTTTTTTTTCTTTCCAATTATGTAAAAAAAAAAAACATGAATTCTAAAATTTATGAAAACGATGAATATGTTGAACTTATATTTTATTAGTTTGCATAATTACAATTTTAATCTTTCATAGGTTACTAATAACAGATATTGATGATTTTTTTTTTTATTATTGATAAAATCAAAATCAATTCATTGTTATCCTATGTTTATAACAATGAATTTGAATTAAATTCTCTAAAATACATCTAAAGTTTGCACTAGCTAGTTTATCTTTTATAATAAACCGTTATTAAAAAAATTACTCGCATTAATATTTTAATTTAACAATGATGTTACATTATAGTGGATATAAAAATAATATCAACGTAATATCATATGGATTAAGTGGAGAATATAAAATTAATTATAAACCACATGATATATGTATCTAGAATATAAAATTAATTATGATTCATATTTAATTAGTTAATATACATAATGTTGATTACGATACATAATATTTAAAGCATATATAGTTTATTATAATATATATAACTAATGATGATACATAATTGACGAGAGATTTATGTTAATGTTATAAAATAAGTGGAGTCTGATCTTCTCTCTACCAGTTAATGAAGAGAGAGAGAGAGAGAGAATTAACACTATCATATTTTTTTTTTCATAATTTAAAAAGAGGTCGAGAGAGAAACATTATTAGTCTATTTTCTGTTTTTGAGTATTTTTTAAAGGTTTGAAGAAGTAAGGTTTTTTTTTTTTTTTCCATTATGTGAAAAAACATGAAATTCTAAAATTTATAAAAATAATGATGAATGTATGTCTTATTATTTTGCATAATTACAATTTTTATCTTTTATAGGTTACTAAAATCACTTCATTGTTAATTCTATGTTTATAACAATGAATTTGAATTAAATTCAAATACAATTATGGTTTGCAGTAGCTGGTTTATCTTTTATAATAAACCGCCACTAATGATCTAGTTGGCCTAATGTTTGTTTTTTCTTTTTTTCTTTTTTTTTATAAAATTTATTCACTGGATTATGTATTCATGCACTATTTTTGGAAATATATATATATAGAGAGAGTAAAAAGAATAATTGAATACCCATTAAATCCATAGATTGTTTATTTAAAATCCTACGATGAAAACTAATTAATTGAGAAATGATTCGAATCTTGGGCATAATAAAGAGACTAATGATTAGTAAGTTAACCCAATTCCATTCTTCGACCTCCAAGAATATAAATATAGTTAGTAAAAACTAAAAGATACTTACTCAAAAAAGAAAAAAGAAATGGGCCAATCGTAAAAGCCAAATAAACTCCAATTGATTCATGCCATAGCAGAACTCAACTGATTGGTTGAAAAGTAAACATCTCATCGTCACTTGCATCCGCAGATATGTAGCAGCAACCACTCAATATTTCCCCTTCAAACAATATATAGAAACAAATCCCTGCATTATGCTCATTCCATTTTACCACCCCAAAACTTTAAATAATTTTACTACCGTACCCAATTTTACCATTGCTCTCTTTCAGAATACACGCACACACAAACGTAAATATCTGCACCTTTATGAACATATATATAGAAAGGCAGCAAGTATTGGAGGGGTGAGAGAGAGAGAGAGAGAGAGACAGAGAAATAGCTAGTGAGAGTGAGAGAGGTTTTATCTGGCCCCATTAATCTCCTCCTTTACAACCTCTCCTTTTGCTTTAGCCTCTCTCAGTCTCAATATTTTCACCACTTTTCCATTGGTGGGTTTGGTAGAGATTTAGAGATGGGCGTCAGGGTTCATTCTAGTTCCACTACTTCAGCTGTTTCTCTACTATTACTACTACTACTTATTCTTGTTTATAAAGCAAATGCAAGTGGGTGTGATTTTTTCACTGGGAATTGGGTTGTTGATGAATCCTACCCACTCTACGATGCCTCTGCTTGTCCCTTCATTGAAAGAGAGTTCAGTTGCGAGAAGAATGGCCGTCCTGATTTGTTCTACACCAAGTATCGATGGAAGCCTCAGTACTGTAATTTACAACGGTAATATTTCTTCTTTTCCCTCTTCTATGATTTTAAAAATTGTGAATGGTGATAGTATATATGTTGTAAATCATATGTATAATAAGGGCTCATGGTTCATGTTCATATGCCATCATTATTGCATTGTGGAGAACGTTTAATAAGACAATAATTAGAGACGTTTAAAAGCGACTCAGACAATAATCACACCCATTATTTAAGATGGCTAGGCTGGCATGCAGTAATCCTAAGGAATCCTTGGTGTAATGTCACTCTTGGCCTATCACTAAAGGAACATGGTTTTTTCTTATATCACTTCAACTTATCATTACTTTGGCAAATTAAATAAATAAACTTTTGTAATTGAATTAAAAAAAAAAAATTTTATTAACCTTTCTTTAAAAAAAAAAAAATCACCTCCTAATAACAAACAAGGACATCAAGCTCCCCAAAACCCTAACTAATTAAGCAGTCATTATACTCAAAACATTTATTTATTTTTACCACATAGAAAGTATCTCAAAACACCGACATCTTTTATAAATGGTGTGGCAATGCATTCTTGATAATGATTGCTTGTTAGTGTTGTTATTTTGAAGAAAAATTACTCCAGACAATGAGAATAATTATGATTATTATTATTATTATTATTAGGATAAGCCATATATTTATTCTTATTGATTCATCCATTTGTACTTCTATCCCTATATATATTTTAAAATTCTCCAATATTATCCTTATAGTTTTTAAAATGCTTCAAATTTGTCTGTTACTAAATATATATCTAACTAAAACTTTGATTTTTTCTCATTATTTTGTTGTTGTTGTTTTCTCTCATTTTTTATTCTCAAAATTCCTGTATATGTTATAATATCTGATTAAAAAAGGAATAAAAGTTCAAACCAAAAATATATTATTTAATGTTTAGATGTAATATTAAAACTTTTTAGAAACTAAAAGGGTGACGTGGATAAATTTTAAACTATATTGATAGAAGTCGAAGGTTGATGAATCTATAGGGGCAACACTGAACTTCATTTTATTTTTTAAATCTTTAAAGGCTCGTTAGTCTTCGTGTTTTTTTTTTTTTTTTTTTTGGACAAAGTCTGTCAATCTTGGAGGTATGCTAGCAGTTGTTTCCTCTTTCCAGTTTATGGTGTATGTGTGTGCACACTAAGATGCACTCATCCCGGTGATAAGTTATGCAAAAGAAGGTCATTGGATAAATTAATGTTGAGAACACAAGGCCCTTTTTCCCCTTATAATTACCCTCTACCCTCAAAATTTCTTCTAATTTAATAAGAATCAAAACAGTTAATTTAGATCTGTCTCTTTCCTAAATTCGTACCTTTCTAAACTGAGTTCCTCACACCGTCAAACTCATGACATAACCCAATTATATATATGAGTAAATTATAAGTTAGTTCCTCTGGTTTCAAAAAAATGAATTAATTATTATTATTTTATTTTAAGAATTAATTATTTAAGCATTTGATAAAAACTGATAATTTTTAATTTAATATAATTTTATTTTAAAAATATTTTTTTCTCATTAATATTTCAATAATATCTATGTATTTTTTATTTTAAAAAACAAATTAGAAAACAATATAGAATAAATAAAAAATAAAAAATAATTAATTTTTGAAACTGAAAAACTAATTAATTTACTACGCAAAGCTAAAGAGACTAATTTATAATTTACTCAATTATATATTACTCTTACGGATTGTTAAGATTGGGCAAAAGAGCGTGGCCCAACGAGAACAAAGCTCCCTTGCAATAATTTACTAAAGAGAGGGAATGGAAAGGACTCTTTTGTCTGCCCGTGATTACCTTTAAACTTTGCACGCGCTACACAGTGCGGGTTCGGAGTTAGGGCAGCACCTTTCTTTTTTTCTTTGTTTTTGTCCATTTGTTTTATCGTTGGGTCGGGAGGGACACAGATTCTCTTCTAACATCGTGGGATTTTAAGAACATTACAAAAATGATGCCAAGCTGGCGGCATCTTTGGTGGGATGTCTTCCTCACTTGTTTTCAGTTGCTGCCCAAGTGCCCTGTCTGCTTTGCTTGTGGGTTCGAGAAAGTTGCTGTCCCTGGGACAAAGTTTTTGTTACTTAAGATAAAACTTAATTAATTGGTGACAGCTCAACACCTTGTTGAGAAACACTAAATGAAAGAACTAAGTTAAAAAAATATAATAAATAATATAGGAATGGGATATTGAGCTTTTTAAATTAGAGAGACTAACGAATTAATTATTTTGCTAGAAAAACACACAGATTGAATAATAATTTATTCTATTATTTTCTTTTAATTGTTTTTATATATAATCCTCAACAAGTTAGCTTCGGTTGTTGTTCCAGACAGCATTTCATTCTACAATTTACTTTGTTCAACGTATGCTTGAGACTTCAAATTGTAATTGCCAGAGAAATCAAGAATCGAAGTTGATGTTTTGTCAACTTTTACAGGTTTAATGGTTTAGACTTCTTGGAAAGATTTAAGGGGAAGAGGATCATGTTTGTGGGTGATTCTCTAAGCCGAAATCAGTGGCAATCATTGACATGTATTCTTCACTCTTCGGTGCCTAACGCCAAATACAGTTTAACTAGACAAGGAGACGTCTCCATATTTACATTTCTGGTATGCATCAAGCAATCAATACGTATTTTCCGAACATGACATTGATTAAGAATTAGAAAGGGATGCTTTGTCCATGTTTGTGTCACGTGAAATTTTAGTCTGACGTGCCACAGACATTTATCATCTTTTAAATCTAGTCAGACAATTGATGACATATACTTTGTCTTCATTTGGCCAAACATGTGGCTCTTTAGGTAGCCTGTCTTTGTTTAGTGACTTCTGTTAAAGGGCATACTCTGCCGTTGGGTTTTCTAGAAATTCCCATTGGCGAATCTTAAAGTCATTTTATATATCAATTTATATTAAATTTATTTAAAAAATTTTAAGGTTATATTTTCACATAGATATATATATATATATATAATCTAATAAAAAAATATAAAATACTGATCTCAAAATTTGAAAAATAAATCTCCTTAATCATTAGACTAACTTCTTGAAATTTAACTTGAACGATTTCAAAATTTTATGGAAATTAAGATCTTTGTGCATTTTTTATTTTCAATAGATGAGAGGAATCGATTTGGTACAAATGCTTTATCATAGGATCCGTACCTTTTCTTCATTGTTTTTTAACAACATTGGATCCATACATGCTACTTTTAATTTGTCTGTCTATGTAATTAAATAGATAATTGAGGGAGCGTTACTCGAAGTCTATACAGTAATCTCTTTTTTAACATTCCAAATTCCAGCTAATTAGATTGAATTAGCAGTTCTTATAAATGCCTCAAGTTAAAGTGGGATTAGTCAGGATTGAGGAAAATTACCAAAGACTAGTAATTCAATTCAAAATTTGAAAAATAAATCTCCTTAATCATCAGACTAACTTCTTGAAATTGCTAGTTCCTTTACTATTGAGGAAAGTTATTTGGATTTTCCTTTTTCCAATACAAAACTCTTTTTTAACATTTATGATCATGCAGGATCACGACGTGAAAGTGATGCTTGATCGCAACGTGTACTTAGTAGATGTTGTACGTGAAAAAATTGGAAGGGTCTTAAAGCTTGATTCAATTGAAGGTAGCAAGCTATGGAATGGCATCGACATGCTTATCTTTAATACATGGCATTGGTGGAACCGCAGAGGACCTACTCAACCGTATTGCCCAACACTAGACTAGTACTTGTACTATTTTCATTCAAAATGGCTGAAGAACTAAGAATGTGCTGATTGATTACTATGATTTTGCAGATGGGATTACATTCAAGAGGGGAATGAGATTAAAAAGGACATGGATCGTGTTCTTGCTTTTGAGAAGGCACTCACTACATGGGCTAAATGGGTGGATTCAAAGATTGATCCTTCAAAAACCCTGGTTTTCTTCCAAGGAATTTCTCCATCTCATTACAAGTAAGCTCTTTAATTGTGATTGCAACATTAATGAATATGTACATTCTTTAATTAATAAATATAAATTCCACTTATGTAGAAAACTCGTTCGTCAATTACCCTGAACCGTGTATTTCATCAACTTAACCATAGGCATCAATGCTAGCCCAACTCATAATCTTCTGAATGGGCTGGAGCAAGGCATTAGGCTGAATCGAATCATCCTTACATCCTAAGAATTAACATACCCAGTATAGGCCTTCGAAATAGGATCATGAGATCTAAATTAAGCTCCCAATCAATGTCTATTAGCAACTGTCGTTTTGGTAAGGTTTTAATAAACTAAGCATTTTTTTTCTTTCTTGTTTTAATTTCGTTACTAGTGGGACGCTGTGGGATGAACCAAGTGCAAAGAACTGTGTGGGGCAGAAGCAACCACTGGGAGGATCAACATATCCAGGAGGATTGCCACCAGCTGTAGAGGTGCTGAAAAGGGTGTTAAAAAAGATTACAAAGCCTGTCACTCTACTTGACGTAACCCTCCTCTGTCTGCTACGAAAGGATGGACACCCTTCAATTTACGGCCTAGGTGGCTCGACCGGAATGGACTGCAGTCATTGGTGTCTTGCCGGTGTGCCTGATGCTTGGAATGAAATCCTCTACAATTTGATACGTGGAAAGATATAATTTATTTGAAATGAAAAATTGTACAATTTTTTCCATGAATTAATAAATAAATTAATAGTTGCAGAGGTTACTCTACATTTTTTTTTGCTTTGGTCTTTATCATATTCTTTTTATTTTTTTCGTTTTAAATTCACATTTCTATATTTAGTTTTTGTCTTAATTACACTTCTCTATTAACTTTTGAATTAACAATGTTATTTATTTATTTTATTTTTTGTTAATCTCATCTCTCTATATTTTTTTTTTGTCTTAATCTTTTTTTATATCAAATTTAAATAAAGAAATTTTGAATTAACAACTAAATCGGGCATTCATATTGGGCTTTTACTAAATGGTACTTTTCAATTCGCTGAAAAAGTAGCAGACATCATTGAGAACTCATATATCAGCAGACAATTACATAAGCAATATACTCTCTCTCTCTTTTTTTTTTTTCTTCTAGAATTAAGTTTTTATATATATATAATGAATAGCTACTTGCACTCTACAATTCGACCTATATATATATATATATATAGGTCGAATTGTAGAGTGCAAGTAGCTATCTCTAATGAATTTTTAATTTTTCCTCTAATGATTTTTTAATCTTTCTAACCCTTTCACAATTTATCCTTGAACTTATAGTAACTTTTATATTACAAAGGAGAAAAGTTTAATAATTTGACAATCCTCTCTTTATGTTTAATAATATATTACAGAAACCCATTTTGTACCAAAAAAAAAAAAGTCCTTATTTACTTTTTGGAAAAAAATAATAATTAAATTTAAAACTTATGAAACTAGAGAAAGAACAAAATAAATAAAATAAAATCGACATGATTATCTTTGTTGCATAAACAATAGTAATTTTACTATTTAATTTGGTCAAATTTGTTGTGTGTATCGTTTTTAATATTCTTTAATTTCTAAGTTTTAAGATTTTTAAATTTAACTTTTTTTTTTTCTTACATAGAGCTTTTGAGATATAATTTATATCATTTCATAATGTATCCTATTAATTATTCTTAGAAACCAACTTTTATATATACACTTGAGAAGTTTTACTTTTATACAGGTGCAATAGAGATAGCGCACAAAGGAACACCCCTCCTAGGTTTGGGATTGGGACACAACAGAGTATTCTTTTCTTTTTGGTACAAATATATCGGTTACCCATATACACACACAATGAATAAATGTAATTTCCTAATTTTTTTCCCGGAAACACATCTTTTCATGACCCATGGATTTCTAGCCATTACTACTAAGATTATTTTTTGTTGTTTCTTCGTTCATTTAAGCATATGTATGATCCAACCAATCCTTTTTCTTTTTTTTTTCAAGGAAGAGATTTAGACATGAGATGTCTTAAAAGGAAGTAAATATGGGTATTGTTTGCATACTTAAATTTAAGCCACGTGTCGATTGAGATCGACATTACATATTAAAACGTTGCACTTTAATCGAACAATGCATTCTCGAATTTTAATGAAACGATACGCTTGGTTTCATAAACCAACCAATATTGACGGACGCAGATTTGAAAACTTTTAATGAAACGGTGCATTTGGGTTCAAAAACCAACCAATATCGACAAAACGAAGTATGAAATAAAAAGATGCGTTTGGTTTTACAAGCCAATCGATATCGACGAAATAAAGATTTTGTTTGGTCTATTTGGTTTCACAAACCAATCAATTTCGACGAACGAAAAAGAAGATAAAACCCGATAATCGTTCATGCTTAAATTTGAGATCCCAAACAGTTATCAATTGACCACAGTTTAAAATAAAGAAAAGAAGACAAAGAGAGGGACAACAAGACTCGCTTCCGTAATTACTTGTATCCTTTAGAATAGCCTTACCTTCCCGTAAAGTAAATCGATAGCATTTATTCCGTTTTTCGAGAACTTAGGATTTTTTACTTCAAGTATTATCAAATGGCATCATCCAAAACTCGTTGATGTAAGTGTTGTATCTTTCGATTTATAATATTTATATCTCAATTTATCACAATATTCTCTTTTCATTTTCAATTTTATCATTCAAATCGAAACACCACATAAAAGTCCTAGTAGTTTATTAGGCGAGCATTGAACCCTTTATTATTTCCTCACAAAGTACTTGGTTACAAATTAAAGTGTCAATTTACTCCACATTTAAGACTAAATTCAACAAGTAGCAACAAGTTTTGGCAACCACAAGTGGGAGATTCAATGTCAAAATGTGGTATTACAAGAAGCATGGTAAAACATCCAACCACTAAAGAAGACCAACTCGACGAAACGTAATCGATTTATGTCGAAGGAATGGTCCAGGTTTTCGAAATTGTGCCTCTAAAATAAAAAGGAAACACGAAACCACATTAGTGGACATGCTATGGGTGACCAAGAGGGATTACCCGAAAATATGACAAACAAAAGCCATAACAATGGCCGAAATAAATTTAGTATCGGAAGTCAAAAGCTTGTGAACCCAAAAGGGAGCGATGCCTCTACCAATAGGGGACAAGACGTAGTGGCGAACGAACTAAATTTTGATATTCGACGGATGTTGTCGAAACGAATGGAAGAATTGCTCAACAAGATCTATGATCCAACTCGTCAATGTAGGTACTCAAATAAATCGACACTTGTAACTAGTGTTAAATCGGCTTGAAGAAGACATCGGTAGGATGAGAGCTTTCATAATCGAATCATCGTAGAAGAGCATGGATATGGCCAATCACCATATTGTTGAAATGATGGAATTTATGCGTTATCATAGAAACATAGTGATTACAAATGTGAATCACTTGTTCGGTGATACTATTAGTCTATTGGCTAAACGAGTGGTCAAAGAAGTGGAAATTACCATCGAACCAAGGTTTGACGTTGCTATAGATGCCACCCGATCGATGAAAGAAGATGTTAGGCATCTTGTAGCTCGACAGAATGAAAAGGGAAAGAGGTGGTCGAAGATGGACATGGAGCATGTCCGATCGGAGCAACAAACATTCCTCTAGTGGTACCCGCCTACTATCTCTAATAGAGCATTCGATAGGAATGGTCAAGACTCACACATAGTCCGTACACACGGACCCATCATACCCAAACCTATGGCTATCCTACTCAATCACCTATTAAACTACCCGTGTATCCACCCCATGTACCTCCGAGTTAGCTAAACTCCAGTTAGCCAAACTAATGGCTATCTACCACATGCACCACTCGTTAGCCAAACTAATGGCTATCTACCTCATGTATCACTTGTCGCCTAACCTAATGGCTATCCTCCTTAAGTACCCCCTATTAACCAAGCTAACAATCACCTTGCTTCGCATAATATTATGGTCCTAATCCAAACATCCCGCCAAGACCTCCTACCAATTTCCCACCACAAAATGTGCCAAACATGGCCATAGTAGTAGGAAACAATCGGATTCCACAACCTCGGTCCCAAGAATGTTTATGGGGGTATGAATCAAGAAACATTAGCCAACATGATTGAGAGAATGTATGGACCTCGTATACAAAGGGTAAATCGACTCGTTTACGGAAATCATATCTTGATTATGTCGATCGAGAATATTTTTTCCCAAGAGGATTCGGGGCTCCCGAATTTACATTGTTCTCCGGTGAAGATAATATTTTCGATTTGGAACATGTCGCCGAGTTTACCTTTTAGTGTGAGGAATTGTCGGGAGATAATTTTCCGAAACTCTATCTTTTCCCTAGTTCCGTAACTCGTTGCTGCTTTCACTTGGTACATTAATTTGTTTCCTAATTCCATTTTTACATGTTGGGATATGCAAAATGCTTTCCAAGCGTAGTTTTCAAGTACCGATTCCGAAGTTTTAGTGATAGAATTAGCCGGATTGAAGCAGCTTCGGGGCAAGTTAGTAGAGCAATTTCGACAAGATTCAAAAGAGCTAGAGTTTGATGTCAAGTCAATCTATCCTAAAGTGAATTTTTTTGTTTCACACAAGATGGTTTAGATTTTCAACTTAGGAAAAAGTTTGAGGGTATGGTCTTTCAAGACTTATACAAGTTGACAGAGAGAGCCTTTAGATTTGAAGCAATTCGTAAGAAGAATCACTACGAAGAAATACTATCGTCGAACATATTATCAAGATCCTGCCATAGTCAATGTCAATTTTATAGAATATATTAAAGGAAAGCCAATAGTATTTAAACAATTGGCTAGAAAGAATATACGAGCCTCCGAGAGCTTCAAGTCTAAAGAAGATCGAAAGTATTCTTTCGATCTAGACAAGGCAGATTTAATCTTTGATTGGCTTTTAGCCAACAATAGGATTAAGATCAAAGGGAAACATAAACTCGCCTACCCTTAAAGAAATAAAAAAAAGGAAATTTTGTAAATGGCATAGTATTACATCCTATTCTATCAACAATTGTATCTTGTTTAGGAATTTAATTCAAGACTTAATAGAGTCAAAAGAATTAACTTTTTCTAAAAAATAAGAAGTTATGAAAGTAGATAGCGAGTAATCCATTTTTTGAAATTGTTGATGTCCTAACCTTGGATGTTTTTGATATGTTTGAATTACATGAGTTGCTCGCTATAAACGAAGCCACCAAAGTGGCTAATCGAGTTTTCAATTGATCGGTTGAAAAATGAGCACTAAGATTTCCTCACTTTAAAGATCTGAGAGCTCAACTACTACCGCAAATGGCACATTACCACTCTCCAAACCATGTACAAATGCCATAATTTCATAGACTTCTTAAACAGATCATAGAGATTATGATTAGTATGACTCGACGAATGTCAAGGAAGTAGCCCTAGTTTTGGCTTACCTAGATCTAGAATCATATACCAATAAAGTAAAAAAAAACGATCAGACAAGCAAAGGCTTAGGTTTAGGACGAGTACTTTAGCCTAGATTGGGCCAAGATTGGTCGAATTGTCAAAAGATGACGATTCATGAGAAACATAAACCAGAATCATCCATTCACACTAGGATGGCCTAAAAAAGGCCATGTGTTAAGGAGAGGTCGGAAGATGAAGAGGATCATATCAACAAGAAGTTTTGTGGCAAATGTGCGTAAAGATTAAGAAAAATGATCACTACTCATTAGACCATATGGGATCCCGTAATCTCTATCAAAGAACCTTAGCTCGAGTAGAAAGGATCGAGAACGAAGCTAGAAGGGCTTCCAGCTCATGGGGTTATAAATATCATTCTTTTGGTCGAGACCATGCCTAGGTCGAAGTCACCCATATCGAAGCCTACCAATCAAAAATGGTCAAATGGCCCAAAAATAAATGACCCCGGACCTTCCGAACGATGGAATAGGTCTCCTAGATTCGCCAAGCCAAAACAACCCGAAATGAGAACATGGAGGAGAATTAAAATCTCTTCCCCTAGATAACCAAAATATGACGAGTCGTTTTAAATGTCTAAGATCGAATAACACTCTTGAAAAATAAGGAAAAGACGGTCCCCTACTATATCCAGGGCTAGAAAAAGAGATGGCTTCGAAAGATGACGAAGTAAAAAAAGTCTAAATGTCTCAAGATGAGAGCAATGGAACGAAACTCAAAATCCTATAGAGAGGCCAACTTGAATCAATTGTTGTATCGAGCAAAACTCTAACTTTTGAAAAAGAAAAGAAGTGGTCGAATCCAGCTATGATGCGGACTTCGAAGATGATGATGACTTTGAAGTCATCCTAGATAAAGACCACTTGTCATGACAAAAGTCCCACTACATGACCATTCAAGGCCATGGAATGCAACATGGTTTTAATTTTGCCAACAAAGTATTTGGCAAAGACAAAACAAGTGAAGCATCAACCTAAAGATATCCTCAACGAGAAAGTTATCGAAATGAAAATGGCTGAAATAACGTTAAAGCCAATCCAATCTTCGGATTCGGTAAGCAATTAATCACTTTCGAGAGACCAAAACCTTCTAAAAGCAAACACATCAAGCCATTGTACATCAAAACACATTAAGCCATATTACCCGTAAAGGTTGAGCACTTGGCTTAGTTGGGACCTTTTCCTCTTTAGAAGAAGAGGAAGAAGAAAGTGGAAGCTCTAGCCTAGGAGGAGTGCCTTTAATGATAGGGTCTATCGAACCAAGGCGTCTAAAGGCATTAGTAGTAGTCTTTTTCAAAGGTTTACACAATGGTTCAATTAGCCCTTCGAAGATGAATTCTCCGAATAAGGCAAAATGAATTTCCTCTTTCTCCGATCTAGCTTCTTTGGTAAAACTGTCAATAGGTAAAACCAAAAAAAAATGAATTCTATCTCTGTTTTTTTACTTAAGAATGACAAAAAGATAAGAAAACCTATCGGCTTTTATAGGCAATCTACCTTCGGTTGGTATCAATCCCATCTATATCGATACACCAAGCAATTACTTAGAGCAAATCCTCTTGGCATGAAGGAGGAAAATTATTGCTCCAAAATGCCGACCACATTGCGAGGAATGTTGAAGTCACTCCAATATTCGGGCGATAGCCATGAAGGTCTTAAGTATTGACAAAGACTTAGGATTCATTCTCGATAATTTTTTTAGAAAATTCTTGATGTCATTCCTTGTTTGCCAAGGTTGGTTTATGGTTGTATACAATGGCATTATCACTTGTTTGAATCAACTTGAATTATCAAGAACAAAGGTTTGGAGAATAGGCTTTAGCAAGGATTGAATCTCCCAAATAGTAAGTCAAGTCTCGACTTACCGGTATTCAACTCCGGACGAGTGCTCGTTGCAAAGAATTATATCTTATGAAGTAATTTGTTTGAATGGCATCCGATCATCAATGTTACTCGATGCTCGGTTTGGATCAAGAATGTGATTCACAATTTTGAGGAGAGTAATAGGTTAGTCGGGTGTATTATGAAGCAATGAACATCCATAACTCTTTAAATCATCCCGGATCGGATGAGGTCCGCACAAGGTAGGGAAATAGAATTCACCCCACATCTAAATAAACCAAAGAAGACCGGATAAGGTTTTGAACCTTTTGGTCGATGCATCATGAAGGCCTCGCATATACACATGCAAGGAGAATTAGACCCATAGCCACTAGTTCGGTTCCATCGAATACGACCGGATTGATGGCCCAAGGTAAAAAAACCTTGATTGGTTTTTGCGATTTGGAAGCCACGATATACTTGCAAATCCACAACAAGTAGAAATCGATCTCCTCATGCTAGGATATCATTGGCTCACCTTTACATCGATCAACCAACCGACCATACGCTGTTGGAAGCCTATTTTCTTGGACCTTAAAGTCCGCATCATTTGCTTTAAAGGCCAAAGTTTAGCTAGAAGATTATAAACAAGTAATAACCATGACATCCAATAGGGTCATTGACATATGGCCTTTGGAGAATTGGAATTGGTTGATGTAGGGGTTCTAGAAAGAGACCAAAATTGTGACCAAACTAGGGTTAGGAAAATATGAGTGAGTCGATAACATAGTGGCCTCACGGATCCCCACGTTGCTTATTTTTTTCCCAACTAAAGAAGAAGCCTCTTGTTCACCCAAGCCTCATACTTGGCATCCGATTTTGGCCAAATTGCTGAAAATGCTTTAGCGCTTTGAGTCCAATTTTGGAAGGCGGAATAAAATACGAGTTCAAAAATTATGCCGGCATCGGTAGTTATTGGGTAAGACAAATCAATCATCTCCAAAAAAGGCACTATATCGACATTGATTATAAGTCCTAGGGTTAGATAAGGACTCCTCTTGGGTTTTTTCTTAAACCCTACTAGGACATCGACATCCCGGTTGTTTGTAATAGTCTAAATGAGGCGAGTATCAATCATATTGGGTCGAACAAAGAGCTCCCATAATCTATGACAATCGGTTAACGAAGATACTTTGGTCTACACGGACTTCTTGGAAGGTTTTGAGCTTTTTTTAGGAGCCATTCTAATGGAATAGAAAGAAATCCCAAAGCGAAGAAAGTATTCGACAAAAGGCGAGGAAGACCTTTTGAAAAAAATTTTTACGGAAAGTAAGGGAATCGTAAAGAGTGTAAAATCATAGGGTCGACTTTGTTTTATATCACATACATTCAAAAGTCACGATGATTTCACCTTTGAAACTCAACGGTTCAAATTTGGTAAAATGAAACGTCAAATTGCTCGCATAAAGTAGTCGCCTTTAGAAAGATGAGGAGTCGCATAGTCTCATCATGTCTTATAGGCATTTAATGATCTATCCATTAGAGAAGAAACTCTTCGTTTCATCTCTAAAGGGGCATGTGTTGGCATACATAAATTTAAGCCACGTGTCGATTGGGATCAATATTACATATTAAAACGCCGCACCTTAACCATAACAATGCATTCTCGAATCTTAATAAAACGATGTGTTTGGCTTCATAAACCAAACAATATCAATGGACACAGATTTGAAAACTTTAAATGAAACGGTGCATTTGGGTTCACAAACCAACCAATATCGATAAAACGAAAGTATGAAATGAAACGATGCATTTGGTTTTATAAGCCAATCGATATCGACGAAATAAAGATTTTGTTTGGTCCGTTTGGTTTCACAAACCAACCGATGTCTATGAACGAAAAGAAGATAAAACCCGATAACTATTCACGCTCAAATTTGAGATTCTAAACGGTTATCAATTAACCATAGTTTAAAAGAAAGAAAAGAAGACAAAAAGAGGGACAACAAGACTATTCCGTAATTACTTTTATCCTTTAGAATAACCTTACCTTTCTATAAAGTAGATCGATAGCATTTATTCCGTTTTTCGATAACTTAGGATTTTTTTTATTTCAAGTATTGTCAAATGACATCATCCAAAACTCGTTGATGTAAGTGTTGTATCTTCGATTTATAATATTTATATCTCGATTTATCACAATATTCTCTTTTTATTTTCAATTTTATCATTCAAATCGAAATACCACATAAAAGTCCTAGTGGTTTATTAGGCAAGCATTGAACCTTTTATTATTTTCTCGCAAAGTACTTGATTACAAATTAAAGTGTCGATTTACTCCACATTTAAGACCAAATTCGACGAGCGACAACGAGATACCGGTTAAGATACAAGTTAATTGAAACATAAAACACTAATTAATTTATGATTATGCATAAATGAATTTCTTACTCTAAAGGTAGCATTTTTCTATTTCATTTTACTTCGAAAAGGAAAAAAAGACTAATAAAAAATAAAATGAGTCAATTAAATTAGAGTCCGTTTGACATGATTTTTGAATTATGATTTTTTTTTTTTACATTAAGTCTTAATCTAAAAGCTATTTTTCATATATAACTTGAAAAAAAAAGAGTTAAAATAACTTCAAATTAGAAGTATATTTGGTAAAAATAAATCAAAATAATATATATATTAGAATTTATAAGATTCACAATTTCAACTTTTGATTAGAACAAAATTTTGACTTAATTTTGTAATAATTTTTTTAATTTAAGTTTAAAGTTATTTGTAATGAATCATATTTATGCCTTTTTGTTGAGTCATACCAAACATATCCTTAATTATTATTATTATTTATTTAAAATTTGCTTACAAGTTCCATAAAATTAATAAAATTAGGTCTTTCTATAAGTAATTAATATTAATATTGTACTAAAAAAATAAAATTATCAGATAAAATAAATGGATAGTTGGATTTGTCTCACCAATAAATTAACTATATCTATTATTTCATTGCACTTTGGGTTAGCTACTACTGGATAAATATTATATTTATTCTAAAACTAAATGCAGATTTACTGTTTTTAAACTCTTGTTAAAGGGGATAAAATAATATCGTTTTATGTCATTTTGATTTGAACAACATCGTTTTATAAAAAGAATGAAAAAGTAATTTTTTTGGACATTTAGTAGTTTTTTTACATTTTAGTCTTTCGAGTTATAAATTTATGCAAAACGCTCCATCAATTTAATTTTTTTATTTAATTTTTAATTTATTATTATTATTATTATTTATTTTTTAACAAAAGCATCCCTATGGTTTTTTTAATTGCTGGGCTATGCTTTCAGCCTAGGCATGGGGCTTGGCTGTTTTTTGACCCATTCAAAAGGGCTTGGTGCGGGCCCTAGCCCATTTTGTTTTTATTATTGTTTATTATTTGCTCAAAATAATTGTTTTCTCAATAGTTAATGGTCTTTTTTTTATACTCATTAACTAAAACTAAAAACTCTTCTAATATGAATTGATTTAACACCATCATCTAATTTAATCTTTTTTTTAAAAAAATAAATAATTAAGCATTTTTTTATTGATCAAAATCAAACATATTCATAGGATATATTTAAATTCAATTATGAAATATAAATATTTTATTAAATATTACATAATAATATTAAATCAAATAAATTCTCACAAATAATGTTAATTAATTTTTATTTTACACCTAGATTTTAAAATTATGTAAAATATTAATATATATTAGATAAACTTATTTGCCACAACACACGGTATACTATAATGCTAGTGAATTCTATATGACATGTTCTTAGTTACCAACGACCAAAAACATTTAAAACGTAACAATACCTTAATGTTGATTTCGATGATAATGAGCCCACAATTCGATGCACAAGCAAAGACCATACTAATTTGCCCATGAATGAAATGTATACTGTCAAAACACATTTTTACAATAGACATTTGATGCTATTTGGGTTGAAGAATACTATAGAGCAACATACTAGAAAACGATGAACACAATTTTTCATGATCTGATTGGAAAAAACATGAAAATATACATCAATGATATTGTGGTCAAATCATATTATTAACAAAAGCACCGAGTATAAACTGAAACTCAGTCCACTCAAATGTGCTTTTGGAGTCTCTGCAACCAACTTCTTTGCATTCCTCGTCCGCAACAAAGATATAGAAGTGGAGAAAAAAAAGAGCAAAAACAATCATAAAAGCAAAACCTCCCAAAAATAGGATTGAGTTTATGAATTTCTATAGCTCTATCAAATATCTAAGAGCGTTTATTTCTAATCTTACAAGAAAAACCAAGGACTTTACACAAGCACTTAAGTTGAAAGAAGAGAAAGAGTTCAATTAGAGGCCACAACACCATGAAGCCTTAGATAGAATCAAAGAATACTTGCCAAATCCTCATGTTTTAGTCCCTCATGTACAAGAAAAACTAATGAAGTTATACATTTCAGCAGCAGAAAACTCAATTGGAAGTTTATTGACATCAAAGAACGAATATGACCAGGAACAAGCCATAATCCTAGTCATATTCTACTTAAGTAAAACATTAAACAATGTTGAAAGTAAAGACTATTTAATGGAAAAATTGTCTATCCCTGTATCGCACAGCCACTGAATTGAGACTTTACTTGATGTCACACGCTATTCATATAATTTCTCAAACTGATATGATCAAATATATATTTAATAGATCAATATTTTCAGGAAGAACTAGTAAATGGAGCCTGACTCTAGTTGAGTATGACATGATACATGTTCTATAGAAGTCAGTAAAAGGACATGCCTTAGCTAAATTTCTAGTTGATCATCTATCCACGGACCTAGAAGAATACAACGAAGAAGTTGCAACAATTTAAAGAGTCCCTCGGAAATTATTCTTTGATGGATCCAGCACTAGCTTTGATGTAGGGGTTGGAGTAATTTTTCAATCTCTATATAGATCAATGACTAAAATGGTCTTCTAGTTAGAGGAAACATGTATCAATAATAGGATAGAATATGAGACACTTATAATAGGCCTTGAGATCTTGTTGACTATATGATTTGGCATAATTGGCTTCTAGGTATAAGTCTCTAACATCATTGTTCAAAGAGGTGGCTTGTATGTTAGAAAGCCCTTTCCCAATGAGTCATGAGAGAAATTAGCTTCTAGAAATCAATCTGTTGGAGATTTTAGAAAATAATAATTAGAGGCATCCAATAAAGAAATATATAGAGAACCTCAAGCAATTCTTTAAAGATAAAATGTTGAAGTTAAAAGCTCCTAATTGCATTGTGATTGGAAATTAACTATATAAAAGAGATAGGTCCAGATACCTAATGAAGTGCGTAGGAGTTGAAGAAGTCGTACTAATGACGACTGAGGTCCATTCAAGGATACGTGGATCATATCTTGCAGCAACCAAGGTGGTTGAAGTCATTAAAAAAAAAAAGAAAAAGGCTTTTATTGGGCCTAAAATGAAGCAAGATTGTAAAGCACTAGCTAAATGATGTAAACCTTGTCAAAAACATGAGAATTTACCGAGAGTTCTTGCTATAGAGTTACACTCTATGATCGAACCCTGGCCTTTCAGAGATTGGGCAATGAATTAAAATTACAGAGATACACCCTCATTTCATTAAGCAACTAATTACTTCACAAAGTGGATTAAAGCTAAGCTTTTAACATCATTAATACAAGCTGGAGTAATTCAATTCATTGAAAAGGACAAAGTTTGGTGTACTAAAGTTAATTACTATGGATCAAGCTAATGTGTTTAATGGAATAGAGATAATGAAGTTTACTGAAGATATGAGGTTCATAATTATTAATTCTATTCTATATTATACTCAAGTATCAAGCTTAGTCCACCAAAAAGATTCTTAAACTGAATATACAAAACATGATCAACAACAATCCTAAAAAGTGGCATGAGTTATTGGTAGAAGTCTTGTAGGCTTAGGACCACACCTAGGAGGGTAACTAGTACTACTCCATATGCCTTAACATAGAGTCATGATGTGATAAAGGATAAGCTTTCAGTGTATATATATATATATATCTCTGATTAGAAGCCATATAAGAGTTAGTCTCTGTAAATAAGTTAGTCCTTGTAACAATAACTATAGTTTTCAGAACTTTATTATAATTGTAACTTTATCCCTGAAACTTTATTTAAAGAGTTCAATGTAATACAAACATTAAGTTAGCCTTGCAATTTATCCTCAACTTCTTCATGGTATCAGAGCCTAATAAGCTTAACAACTGACATATGAACTACCTCTTGTTTCTTGCCTAAATCGTGTGTTTGATAGCCAATACCCCTTCCCCTTTTCTTTTCTTCTATTTGTGCTACTACCAGCACCTTTCTAAACCGTCCCTCATATTTCTTTTTATATCACACCTTCTTCAAACCATCCGTCATACTTCTTTTCATATCACACCCTGCTGCCACGTACACTCCTCCACAAATATCACACGCCAGCCTTCCCTTGCCCACACTTCAAAACAAAACCATGACTCCTTAACGCTTACTACCGGCTTCTCCCTTTAACCAATCATAACATCTTCTGATTCCTCAAAGTCCACTGATCTTCCCATTGACACACCCACTCATTCCATCACCCCAATTACCACCATTCCCCATGTATAACATCAATTATCCATCAAGCTCAACTCCACAAACTATCTACTACTATGGCTAAACCAAATCACACCTATTCTTCAAGGCTACAGGGTCATGACCCATGTTGATGGCTTTGAATCTCCACACCTACTTACCTAGATTAGTTTGCTAAAAACCAACTAGCACTTAGCATTATAACCTCTCTCTGTAAAGGAGTCATCTCCCAAGTAGTTGGTTCCAAAACTACTCATGAAGGCTACCACCTATGCATTAGGATCTAGATCTTATGTTCACCAATTAAAATCTCACATTCCCCGACTGGATTGTAAGAATGATGATATCACCACTCACACACACACATCTTTTAATATTTTAAAATTAGCATATACGTCGGTTTATATTAATCTTATAATTTAAATTTAATTTTTTGAATTTATCATTTATATGAAAATTCTCATCTAATTACTATTTTTTATATAAGATTTTATTCAATAATAAATGTAATTTATTTTTCTGTATATTTAAATTTTAGAATAAAAATTTAAAACATGATTTAAAAAAATAATAAATTGGTATAATATATATCATGAATTCTTAGAATTTTTAAATGATAGTTGAGCATATATAAATATATAATAATTTTATTCTCAAAGGTTAAAAGTGTATTTCAAATAATTTGTCTTAGTTCATTAGGTATGGTTAAGAAATATATAAAAAAAATTTTGAATCGTTGATTTTATTAAAAATTAACTATACATATTCCAACATAATACAAATGATTTACTATGAATATTTTTTTTAACATTATAGAACCAATTTATTTGTAATAAAATAATTAAAATAATTAATTTTAATTTTTTAAACAAATTAAATAATTAAATTTTAAAGTTGAGAAGAGCATAAAATGAACCAAAATAATAATAATAATAATAATTATTAATTTTTAAAACAAAAAATAATTTTTTTTCAAAACTAGAAAGACTCGATTTATAATTTACTCTAATTTTAGCATCATGTCTCATTCATACTAGTTTGATCAACACTAACCTCACAAATTTATCTAAGAGTTTATTTGAGTTTGTATTAAAAAAATTATATATATTCGAATTCTCGCATCATTAGATGGAATGGTGAAGCACATAAGCTGGAGATTAGAGATGCAATTTTTAAACTTTTATGCATATTTCATGAAAATTCATAGTTTTAGTCTTTTCATCTCTAATAAAGAATTCTATCATTTTATTTATAGAGAGATGTCTCATTTAAATATCTTTTGTTTAAACTCCTCACTCTGTCACTAATTAAGTGTCAAGAAGATCTTTATTTTTTAAAAAATAGTTTAAAATATGTGGAGATCATAAATTTATAAGAGTTAAGAATTGGTATGAAATATAAAAACATATGAATTAAATTATGTACCAAAGAGCTTTTAATCCAATGGTAGTGGTTTCTTGCAAAAGGTTGTGGATTTAAATCCTAGTAGACTAGTTTTGCTAGGAATCTTGGGTATGTGTGTAAAAAAAGAAAAAGAAAAATACTAATTCGATTTTCGATGGAAACCAATTTTTTTATTTTTAAAAAAGAATTGAACCGAAATAATTTTGGTTTTTTTTTTCAAATTTGTTGTACAAAACTGAACCAAAATTAGTAATTCGATTCAGTTTTTCAGTTTTAACCAAATGGTGCTCACCTTTAATTTAAACATAACCTACGCAACCAAATCGTAAAACTTCTCATATGTTTAATTGCTAATTTTATGAGTATTAACTTATCATCTCACAAACAAAACATGCCAATAACAATGAGTAAAATAAATTTAGTTCAGCTAGTATTGCAAAATGAATTAAATATTTCTCTAATTTTAAAACTACTTAATTAGTTCTTACGTTCTTAAATTTATTTGTATTTTAATCATTTTTGTCCATTTTATGTCATTTTCCAATTTTTTTTTCAAAAATAGTAAAAGAAAAAAAAGATAATAGGAAAATATTGATGAGAAAACATTATATTGTTTTGAAACAAAGTAATATTAAATTAAACGTTATTAATATTAATTAACATGCCAATTAATTAATTAGTTTCAACTAGAAATACTATTTCTAATTGATTTTGCAAAACTAAAGGCATTAAGTTATAAGTTATTCTAATAACATTAGAAATTATATAATCCACGCAATCAGGATATTGAACCTACCGATGAATTATAAAATATACTTCATAGTTATAAGCCAAAGCATGGCTTACTACAAATTGTTAACTTTCAAACAGTACGTAATAAGCGCACATTAGTTCTTACTAGTTGCAACTATAAGAACCTATACTATTATTTTTTTAAAAGAAGAAGAAGAAGAAGAAGAAGACTACGCACACAAAAGTACCTAGCGTGGAATATGAAGACGAATCCCTATTTTGAAAGCTGCCATTGTTGTAGGAGTCCACTAGTCTTCTCTTCAATCTTGACAGAAATTGAGAAGAAAAAGACGAAAGTTAGATGACAAGGCATGGAAAAAGAGAAATATCAGAAAATAATACATATGCTTATGAAATTATTATAATTATGATGATGGATCATGGAAGAAAGTACATTAACATTAATTACAAACACTTTTAACTCTTACCTTCAAACACCAACTGTTTTAACTAGTTTCTTCTCGTACTGATTTTGCGAGTATGTTTCTTAACCCTTTTTGCATTTTGATATTGCTCACCTTCAATCATCATCACAAACCATGCAGGTCTTCTTGTTCTAAACACAACGTATCCCATTGAGAGTCCAAATACAAGTCCAAATCCATAACCAATCCCCACAGCTTTCCATCCAAGCCCATCTCTAAGCATTGAATCTTCTTCTTGAAAGATTGATGGTGGCAGCTGTTGTCCCTCGTCAATATTGTTGCATTCTTCTGCCAAGGGAAATCCACATAATCCCAAGTTTCCTTCATATGAGCGACCTCCGAATGTGTTGAACTGCTTCCCTTGAGGTATGGGTCCCTCCAATCGGTTATATGAAAGGTCGAAAACTTGCAGAAATGTTATATCTAGCAATTGCATAGGAATTCTTCCCGTAAGCATGTTCGAAGAGAGATCCAATGATTCCAAATCAGTCAAATTCCCGAATGATGGTGGGATGTAGCCAATGAGGCAATTGTGAGAAAGATTGAGCTGCTTCAGTGATTTCAACTTTCCAAGTGACTCTGGAATTTTTCCTGTGAATTTATTGCTGGATAAGTCGATGCTTGTGAAAAGAGTTTGGATTTTTGTGAAATTAGCCTTCAACCCTTTCAACATTGTTTCTGCAGAATACGGAAAGTTGTAACCTCCCCACATGTATTGCATATGCGGATTAATCTTCAACATTTCTTTCAAATTATTGAAATACTTTATTGGTAAAGGTCCGCTCAAATTATTATTGGAGAGGTCAAAGATCCGTAACTTAGCAAATGAATCATTGGCAACAGGACCCTTCACAAAACCGTGGAGTTTATTGGATCGAAGAACAAGAACTTGCAACTCAGGAAGCATTGCTAGAGAGTAGGGAAATGTATCCTCTATCATGTTGCTGCCAAGGTCTAGAAGTTCCAAAAATGCACAGTTGATGATAGATGGTGGTATCCCCCTTTCAGCTGATTGTCATTGAAGCTGAGATACTTCAAACTATTTCCTTCTGAAAATGGTGAAGGAATCGTGCCTTGGAGATTGTTTGCACCAAGATGCAACACTGAAAGACTGTTGCTGAAGTTTCCCATACATTGTGGGACAAAACCACTCAAACTGTTGTTGGACAAGTCAAGAACTTGAAGGGATTTTAGCTTACAAACAGAAGAAGAAATCTCTCCTGTCAGTTTATTGTTTGACGCAAGTCTAAGGACCAACAAATTTTCTTGTTCGAAGATTGAACTGGGAATTTGGCCATCCAAATTGTTGTGGCTCAGGTTAATAAGGGACAATGAACTGTACTGGAAAGTACGTATATGGCCAGATAATAGGTTATCATCAAGGAGTAAAGTATCTAAAAAAGGTAGAGCAAACAAAAAGCTCGGTATCACTCCTCCAAGTAAGTTACTGTATAACACTAGACTACTGAGATTTGACAGGGTGCTAAACTGAGAAGGAATTGGGCCTATCAGCCGATTCATTGACAAGTCCAACGAAGAAAGTTCAGTGAGTTTAGCAAGTGACAAGGGGATCTGACCCGTAAAGTTATTATGTGAAAGGTCCAAATCTTTGAGCTGACTGAGATTAGCAAGTGAGGATGGAATCTGACCACTCAAGTGATTGCCTGAGAGGTCCAACCAAGTGAGTTGTGTGAGATTACCCAGCAATGCTAGATTTGACCTTATAATATTACAGCCGCAGAGGGACAAGAATTCGAGTGACTTTAGATTAGTGCTAAACTCATTTTCTAAATATATTGAGATTTTCGTGTAAGAAAGTACCAATTTCTGGAGTGAACTACTCCCGTTGAATAAAGAAAAAGAGCCAGTGAGGTTTCCATTAGCCCATAAAGAGATCTCCTGTAGGTTTGATCGGTGAAACATGCTACCAGGGAAATTCCCTTTCAATCCACAATATGAAAGTCTGAGGAATGACAAAGAAGAAGACAGATTCATTACGGAACTGGGTATCACCAATGACATGTTTACCCAGCTAAAATCGAGATCTCTTAGCTGGGTAAGGTTTTGAGCAAGCTTGTTAAAAGATCTTGGTTCTAGCGTCAGCTTAGAGTTATAAGAGAGATCAAGAGACAGCAATCCGGATAGATGGGATATTTCTGATGGAACTTGGCCTGCAAAATTCGAGTAACTTAGGCTAAGATGTGTCAAATACAAAAGCTTACCAAACTGAGATGAAACATGGGAGCTATTGAAATCATTGTCAGAGAGGTCAAGCTTTTGAAGATGATGAAGGAAGAAAAGGGTGCTATTTGAATGGAGAACGCCATGAAGCATGCTGCAACGGAGGTTAAGGCCAATTACATGACCAGTCTTCATCTCACACGTCACTCCATCCCAGGAGCAGCAATCTGTACCTTCATTCCATGTTTCTGTCTTAGGATTTTGACAATCCTCTGAAGCAGAACTATCAATGGAAAACGATTTTTTGAAGCGGAGCAAAGCAAGGTTCTGGTCATGACGGCACAGATTTGTTGAAGAGGGGAAATTTGAAGAGTTGGACAAAGAACAAGTAGCTTGGAAGTTTGAGTAAAACAAAAGGAGGCAAAGAAATATTAATTGAGCGAGGCATAGTAAAGACCCCATTGTATTCTGTCTGTTGAGAAATTTCAAGGGGATGTTAAATCTGATAGTCGAAGGTGATGAGAATAAAAAAATCAAAATGCACTTGCTTTCTATGCATTTCGTAGGATGAGAAACGTAGACGACTCAGTTTGACTATAAAATCAACTGATACTCATGGACAGGGGCGGACCCCACTGTAATATATATATATATTTTACCTATATTAGAGTATAACACACACGCGCGCGCGAGTGATAACACTTATTATTATTCTTTTATTTTTTACGGTTATCATGTAACAGTTATTTTCAGCGATTAATATAATTAAGATTAAGCTTTCTAATAAGATGAAAGATTATTTTTTTTAATTATTTTTTAGTGTATATTGAAAAAGAAATTATTGAAAATTTTAATAGGGATTCACTTATAGATAATTTTCGTGACTTAAAAAAATAAAAATCTTTATTTTAAATGATTATATTTTAAAATTATTTTAAAATATATATTGATATATTATTTATAACATATATAAATTTATATAAAACATAATAAATTTATAAATATTTATTTTAATCTTTCGTAAACATTTGATTTTGCGTCCGTCAACTCTTATGGAGAATGGGGACACGGAGAAATTACGTTGAAATGGGATGGAAATGACAAAAGTCATGAGTGTGAATGATTATGAGAACTGTTGTGCTTGCTTGACCCCAGAGTCTTTGTTGTTGAAGACTTACCAGAAAATTAATTCTAGATCCGCCGACAAGCTTAATTTTTTTTTCATAATTCTCAAAAATTACTGAGTGACATCATATTGCCATGTCTGCGCGCATTAAGAATTCGCTTCACACTTTGGGTTTCATTAGTAAGTTATGAACATTTGGTTCTGCGTACGCTAGTGGAGAATGGGGACACGGAGAAATTACGTTGAAATGGGATGGAAATGACAAAAGTCATGAGTGTGAATGATTATGAGAACTGTTGTGCTTGCTTGACCCCAGAGTCTTTGGTTGTTGAAGACTTACCAGAAAATTAATTCTAGATCCGCCGACAAGCTTAATTTTTTTTTCATAATTCTCAAAAATTACTGAGTGACATCATATTGCCATGTCTGCGCGCATTAAGAATTCGCTTCACATTTTGGGTTTCATTAGTAAGTTATGAACATTTGGTTCTGCGTACGCTAGTGGAGAATGGGGACACGGAGAAATTACGTTGAAATGGGATGGAAATGACAAAAGTCATGAGTGTGAATGATTATGAGAACTGTTGTGCTTGCTTGACCCCAGAGTCTTTGGTTGTTGAAGACTTACCAGAAAATTAATTCTAGAGGCTGTTCACTACGCACCAGACCCTTCCTCCCGAGCTTGAGGCATTACAAATTTGTGATGCTCCATATCCCACAACGGTAAGTTACGAGGAATTTTAATTAGATAAAAGAAATGATTAATAGATATATGGGAATTAAAAAATCTAAAACCTATTTATTTATTGCACACCAAACTCCTCCCTCTAAGCTAGGAGAGTTACAATGTACAAGCCTAAGTAGCTCTTTCTGTCTTTGGCAACAATTGTTTCCTATATTCTTTTTTCTCAGTTTCTTCATCCAGTAGACTAAAACGCGTGAGCTATTGTCGATAGCTCATGTTCCCTCCGGTTGCAGAAGAAACGCTGCTTTCTTTCCCAATTTCCACGGCCAACATAGTATATACTACGTACGTACTAAAGATTTAATACCACTGGTTATCAATACAGAATTTCTGGGTAGTTATATGTAAGAGAGACCGATTCTTTCTACTTAAACAATTAATACCTGATCTATGTTTCAAACAATAAATATTTAGAATTCTTTTCAAGATAGTTTTTTTTTTTTTTTTTTTTTTTTTTTTTTTTTTAATAATGTTGCAAATATTAGAGGGATTTTTTTGCAGAAGAGGTCACTGTGGTTCAAGGATTTTTTCACATTGTACCTTAAAGTACCAAAATTGACAATTAAATCCTTCACATTTGAGTTTTTGAAAAACATTAATCCCTCCATCCATTGTTGTTCCCAACAAATTAAAAGTTTTGAGGTTATAGAAGACACGTGACAAACATTTATTAGCAGGGATTTTGGACAAATTGGAATACAATTTAAGGTTGGGTTGGGTCTTCTTACATAGAACCTTACATACGCATGGCAAAATTAATTTGATCGGGCTAGAATCCCTAATATATTTTGATCAGATTTGACAATAAACAAAAACGTTTATCACAAACACATTCTAATTAATTTCCTCTAAATCACTATCCAATCCGAAATTTCAACGATTAACAACAAACATATCAAAATTACCCAAAAAAATAATAACAAGAAGCGATGTACATTTTAAAACTACAATCATCATTAATTATTATCTAAATAAGTGAGTATATAAAGAGACTTACTAAGCTGAGACATTGAGAAAGAAAAACCGCAATAGAGAGGAGGGATGGGCAAAAGGGAGAAAGTTGTTGTCGCTATCACTATGGAAGATCAAATGAGAAGATCAAAGAGGGAGTGATATTAGTAAATTTGAGAGGATGGATGTTCTGTTTCATTTTTGTTTGGGTATATTGTTTGTTCAAAAAGTTTTTATGCATTTTTTTTAACTGCAATATCACCAAAGAAATGCTTCCATCAGTGATTAATAATAATAGTAATAATAAATATATGCATCTAACCGATGATTTTATGAATCAGATCAATGAACAAAAGTCCAAGAGGACAATTTGAAAGGAAAAATAGGTACTAATCCATTAAATGGCCATAACTTTTGATCTAAACATCCGATGACGCAAATAATATCAATTCAAAAAACTTACTCAAAGGCTCATTAGATAAGGTGACTACAACATCCACCAGAGGATCCTTTTAAGGTTAAAAATCACTACGAAAAATCCATTTTTAGGCCTTTTTCAGATGTATAGAATTAGCCCAAATTGCTCTAGTTTATGAATTGAGACTTTATGCTTTGCTTCTTTTTCTAATTTTCATATTTTTAGAATTAATTTTTGGATTTCTAGTTTATTTTATTTTCTAGTTTAGCCTTCAATCAACTAGGACAATTTACTTATTATATTTGTAGCCAAAAACCATAATTATCAATCGTATTATTTAAGAATATTCAAACCATTGTATTTTTCAAATATTTTAGCACTCTTCTCTTTGAGGGTTTTTGAGTACTACATAACCTTGTGTCTTTTTGTTATTTGTTACGACACGTACCATCGATGGTTTCATGGGTTCAACAATTTTTATTTTGTTTTTCAATTTTGAACTATTTTTTGGTGATTATGTTAGAGATTACTGATGAAATTATTTTCTTAGGTAATTCCTTTAGATATCACGTACTAATGGAATTGTTTTGTAGTGATTTTGTAAAAAATCACTAATTAAATGTTTTTTGGTAGTGGTCCCAATAGATCTAGGATCAATTGAATTTGTTTTGAGTTGAATGGCTTGTTGAGTTGAGTTGTGTTGATATGATTGTGATAGAGATCTATAGATGTTGTAGTGGTTGATGATAGGTAAAAGAAGAAAAACTAAATAAGATTCAGAACTCTATAACTCTTATGTTTGAAAAATTAAAGAGCTAGTTTGTTATTATTTTTGTTTTGAAAAAAAAAAAAAAAACAATAACTAATTGTTGAAATTCTTCAAAAACCTAAGAAACCAAACGAAGTGCTTTTTTTATGCCAACTTCTCTCCTCTGTCTTTATTCTTCAGATTTCAACTGCCTCCTTCTCTGCTTTTTTATTTTTCAAATTTTGGATGCCCTTCTCTTTTATTTGTAGGAGAAAAATATGTATTTATAGAGATTTTTGGGGTTTGGGTCCCCTAGTTTCTCTTCTTCTTGTTTTCATACCAATCCTTAGCCTTTTTTTTTTTTTTTTCAATTCCATTCTCAATTCGATTTCTATTGTTTCCCACACATTTTCTTCTTTCGATTTGTGCCTAGATTGTTTTCTCTCTCTTTTTTCTTGATTTTCCTCGCTTTCTCATTTTTTTTCACTCAATTTTTTTTTTTTTGCATTGATTATTTTTCTTCACTCCTTTTTTATACTCAATAATTTTTTGAAATTCATAAATCTCGAGAAAAATAAAAAAAATAAAAAAATAAAAAAAGTGATGACATTCAAAAAATAATATAAATCAAATAAAATGTTTAATTTTTGATATTTTTGCAATTTTTTTTCAAAATATTGCGAAAGCAAGGGAGCTAAAACCGGGTCTTAACACTTTTTTTTAAGAGTAATATATCATTTTATTCTAATTTGTTTATTAGATTTGGCTTATCATAAACCTGCTGGCTTGTAAGGGTTTTTTTCCGTCTTGATTACTTATTTCATCTTTTTGCATCTACTTTCTGTGGAATCTAGATTCTGCTTGATTGTGAGATAATTGTTGTCTCATGAGATTCTAAGTCAACAAGATATAGCAACTTTAAAAAAGATTTTGATTTACAAAATATAAGCTGACACGCATGATGCACATAGACATAAAGCGTTCTATTCCTAGTCCACCTCATTATGATGAACCATTTATTCTCAGCACTCACACGATGGAAAGTCACGATGAGAGTATGGAAGAATTTTTGCACCTCCATCTAGCTAGAACACGACGAACGGAGACGGGAACAAAATTTTTTTAATTATTATTATTTTTTTCCTTTTATGCTTATAAACATTTCAATATTACAACTATACCTTTACTTATCAATCTGTACCGTTCAGCTTACATGAATTATTTTCGACATTTAGATCTGCTTAAACAAAGAAAGTCAAAAGTTTAAAAGCGAAAATCACGATGAATAAGAAAAATAATAAAAAAGAAAAAGAGGAAAGAGAAAGAAGAGAGATGTATGTTCTTAAACCTCTTCCACTAAATGGCCTTCTTATAAGTGTTTTAAATATACTTCTCCCCCAATTGTTTTAATAAAAAGCAAGATTTACAAATATTTTAATGTTTTTAGTTTTATTTGAATTTACTCAATACATAT